CTTTCGCTGTATGTCCGTATGTATGCTTAGATCTTTAAAACTACGCAACGGATTTTGATGCGGTTTTTTTAATAGATAGAGTGATTCTTAAGGAAGGTTTGTATGTATAATACATGCATATTGCACCCGTGCGAAGCCGGGGCGGGTCGCTAGTTAAGTATAATTGGTTATTTAACTCGTTGATCGTACCATCATTATAGACACAATTAAAGAACAATAGGTTGCGGTGACCGCTTGGTGTTTGACAGTTTAATCTTTTAACAACTAAGAAAACAATACCTATAGACAATGTGGATTTCGGATAAGCTTTTATTTAACCCTTATATAACAATTCGTGGGCCACGCAAAGAGTTGTCCCAAGAGACATTTTGCATAGCAATTTAATACAATAATAACGACGCATAGAATACGCTAGCACTATCTTAGGCTTCTTCTTATTACCCGCTGAAAATAGAGGTCTATCCAGGTACTTTGTTTTTTTTGAAACGTTAATCCACATTAAGGTTTTTTCCTGTGTCGCAGGTGCGTTTACAAACATGCAAGTTCACATACACAATAATACTTAGACTTGAATCACACACACGCTGCGCGATAGTCAGTTGCCCAGCCACCGCGCCTACCGTGCGTTAGTAAATTAAATCTAAAACATCACATTAATAACAAGGCAATATTAGCACTAAGAAATGGCTATTGTTTCAGATGCAAGCCGTCAAGGCAGGGAGCCCGTTGCCGGAGGAAATGTCTTTGGCGGTGGACAGCAAGCTGATCGTGGGCATACCCCGCGTCGCTACCACCACCAAGGACAATGCTCCTGTCCACATCGACGTCGGTGGCACCATCTATACTTCGTGTCTGGAAACGTTGACTTCGTAAGTATTTTATACATAGAACACAATATCTATAAGCTTACTTGTAAATTAGGGTATCAATATTAGGCCGGCCGGTCGGTACAGCTCTCCGCGGGTGACTGGCAGCATACATATCATGACACAATGTGTATCCCTACGGTCATCCTCCCCTTTTTAAATTAATAAACAACCCTAAAGCTGAAAGTTAAAGTACACAAAGCACCGCTAATTAGTTCGAGGCGCTACACATCGACATTACTATCATTTACACAGTGAACATGTGTGGGTAATTTCATATTAATAGATATGTATAGAAACATTCGTTCTATCACACACATCTTGGTATTACATATCATTTTTGTGTCGGTATACGTAATATTTTAGTAAATAAGTTTAAATAAAAACGAGGGTAAAGATAAAAATACTCATAACAAACTTTGAATAAATCGAAATCAAAAATAATGAACGATCGAGCAATACAATACTTATATAAATATAGTGCATTCTCATTGTATTTTTATGTTACTGAATGATATACAATATTTCGATGTTCTCATCTACGGCGCGCTTGGCGCAATGGTTATCGCCTCCAGTGGTCAAGTAAAGTGCCACCGGATCGATTCCAGCATTCACATGTTGTTTTAGTATTAATTAATCAAATATTTGAAATGTGAAATTAGAAACAATTAAATCTTTTCTTTTTTTCCTATCCTATTTTTCTAAATCTTATGTTAATTTTAATAGTAAATACTTTAGATTTATTTATACCTATAATATCCTTTATTTATATTTTAGTTCTAGTTATTTATTATTTAGAATAATTTAGAATGATTGGAAGAACTTTAAAGTTAACATGTGGTATATAATTAATTATTAGATATAAATATTGAATATAAAACCACATATTTGTATAATTAATAAATTAATTTTAATAAAAAATAGTATTGTTTTATTTACCGACTGATTTGCTTCTTTTATAGCCTGATATTTATATTATATGACAAAAAACAAAAAAAAAATAAATAAGAAAAACAACAAGGTAAAATAAAAAAAAACTTTTAGCTGGAATAGAACCCACATCATCATTGATCCTTGAAAGACGATAAAAGCGTACTCATTAACCAATCGACCACGAGCACTACGATAATTACAGTGAAAATGTCGGGTCATATCAATGATTGTAAATAGTTTTAACCTTACCCATGCATTAAATTATAAAAATACGTATACCGACACAAGAATGAAAATACCAATGTGAACGTGGTGGACGAATATTTTTATACACAGTAATATGAAATTACCCACACATGTACATTGTGTAAATGACAGTAGTGTCGATGTGAGCGTTACGAACTAATTAGCGGTGCTTTGTGTACATAATTATCTAATATATCATGTCCTTAATATTACACGGTTACGCGGTGTGTCGAGCGTTGATTCTCTTGTTTCAATACAATGATAGCAAGTATGCACAGTAATTACATTGGATACTATTAGTATTGTTTAAAGAACAGGTTCGATTACCGTTTGAATTTACCATGGCACCATGATGCTTAGACACATTATGTTAATCCGATTATTAAATACTTCAATTACAATAGTCTCGCACTATCCGATACGTTAAATTGATGTTGGTTTGGGTTCATTGCTGCTGGACCCAACGCAATATTTGTCACCTCACCTATGTTTCCGGAACAATTTTTGCGTATATTTTTTATTGTGTTGATATAAAACATAGACACCCCAACAGACAAACAGACAAGAGAACTACTCCAACATAAGGATCTCGTACATGAGATTCATTTTGTTTTCCATTTCACTTTGTATGGACCTCGTGTAGTTAGCACCATTCTGCGCTATGATTATGTCCTGTTTTTTACTTTCGAGTATTTCCCACAATGCTGGCAAATATAGCTATTTTTGTAGAGTATTGTTTCGCATTTTAGAGTTGAATAATTATATAAATAGGTACCTTCATGTTAAAATTATTCAATCCAATCAATAAAGTGCATAAATTGACAAAGTTTGACTGACTAAGGGTGAGTACGTATTGTTCAAACCATCTTATATGTTGTAATACTTACATACCTAACTAGATGCTTATTACTAAGTATACCCGTGTCGACCAGAGGACATGTGGTCTTGCGATCGGTTTACTTAAGTAGCCATTACACGGATTTTTACAAATACAGACTACTATCTACATATGTGCATAAACCTTACGGATCGCTTGATCAATCTGCCACCACAAGAAAATTTTGATACTTTTTCACCTGAAGTTAAACCTGCACCTATTTATGCCTGACCAAAAATACTTTTGCGTTAACAATTTACGTGACAGCCTTACCCCAAGATGACTAATATTATGTAGCGAATGTTTCGGAAACATGTATTTAACATGTTTCCGGAATTGCTCTGGTATAAATTATATACTTACCAGATGATCTGGTATATATTATTTACGTATAATCCTTAGGCCTTGATGACGAAACATCAATTTTATTTTTTTAATTAGGCACGTAGTCGTCGACTTGGCCGTTAAAGGGTACACAAGGGTATAAAACCAGGTGTAAGACACCATTGCACCAATCTGTCACCAGAACCTGTTTATTCAATCAACTTTGCTCGCAGATGCTACTTCTCTTGTTAGCGATCTTTCCATCACCTTATCCGCCATACGTGCTAGGTTGTCGAGATTCTGATCTTGGCAAACCGCTAACACAGCTCTAACTGCGGGAGGTAAGCAAGATGTCCGACGGTTCTTTACGGTCTCTTCGCTAGCCTGACAGTTCAGATCATATCACAGATCATGCAGTAAACTTTTAATGATGTACCAAGGTTATAGAAATAAAATCATGTATAAAATGTACTGTTAAAATGGTACCTAACTGACATAAACTTTAACTTATTTATCGACCACCTAAGTTCTCGCGTAGTGTTTTTCTAAATGATCGTAAATAATGTAAACGTAGGTCTAATCTAGGTATGTCCAGTTAGCGGCAAATACATAAATAACAGTACCCACAGGGGAAGTTACTTAAAAATAAATTAAACCGAACACAATTTTATTGTTGTTGAACCAGGTTTACCTTTCATTACTTTTCCATTTTTGCTGGATTGAAAATAAACAACTGTATTGTTGCTATCGTAATGAATGAGTATCGATTGGATTATAAGTACATAATATTGGTAGTACTTTACGTGTTGCAGACTTACTTTTGCAACTGACCTGTATTGTCGAGCTACATCTAAGTGCGACCAGAGTAGGAAGGGGTTAAAGTTAAAGGTTTAATACAATGTATAAAGGTTTTGGCTAAGCAGGCTAATTCTTAATAACCGGGCACAACCAGTTTCCACACTAAGTCTAATAGGGAGCTACTACAATTAGGCTATCAGCCACTTACCAATTTTATTCACATAATAATATTATTACGTTCAAAGTACCTACTACCTACAGTGCCTATCATCTGGAAATGAAATAACGGCGCTATACTTTGTCTAAGCAAAACTCTTCTAACCATACAATCGGTATAAGTCCGCTTACCAACTCTTTACTTTATTCTCTGTTGTTTATGACATTCTATAGATTCAGTAAGCCCGCGGGATACTTCTAGCCCGAGGTCGTGCCATGCAAATGAGCCCCTAGCATTTTCATATCGTGGATATCAATGACAATGCTTGCGGCAAATGAAGCGTCAACTCCAATTAAGTCTTTGTGCTGGATATTTGCTAAAACATACCCAGTTGTTTTTAATTAGTTTGTTTTTGTTTTAAACTACAAGGAGTAGGCGACAGTTCCCCCGTGTAAGTTGTTCAAAGAACCTGCGTTGTTTGCCATAGTTACTTGGTTGAATTTGATTCCAATATTATTGTTTTATTTATTTGTCAAAAATAGTGATTATACTGATAATACTTGCCACATATGATACCTGCATTTATAATAGAAATTAATTAAAAATTATAAAATAAATCTCATATTATATCAAGATATAATATGAGAAAGTTTTATCACTTCTAGTTTAATCTTGAGCGCAAAATGTTTATATTGATTTCTTTCTTTCCAACTACAGAATGAATTGAAAAGACATAAGCATCTAAATACTAAACATTTTAAAGTTCGGTTTGGGTATTGGTATTAGCTCTGTAAAAAAAATTACATGACTTACTGGCATTTGTGCAAATAACGTCTGTCCTACAAATGGTGCAACAAAATTGCATGAAACTTTAGAAAATAAACAAAATGAAAGGCCACCCTTTCGATGTTATCTTTGCATGGCTTATGAAAATGAACGCATGAACAAAAAAATCGTTTTAGTCTTGTTATAAAACAAGGTTTGTCCCTTTAAATATACAGTAAAATCATTTATTCATTATAATTTTCTAGAAGAGATTTATGAAAAAGTAAAAGGTAGAGTGCGCTTGAAGAAATTACTTAAATATTAATATACAAAGAACGGTACACAAAGAGCGATATAAGCGATTCCCGCAAGATTATTTATTATACATGCACGTATTACCAAGTCTTTGGTTACAAAGAAAACGGTACAGTATGATGCTATTAAAAACTGTTTACAGTTCTCGGGTCTTTAATACAACAGGAACTTAATAAATCGTTCATAGCCCTTCAATGGGTTACTGACCCTAGAAAAACACTTCTTCTCCCAGTAAGGCATAGTACTTGCAGATTTTACAGGAGGAATTGTTCATTATTCATCGAATTGAATAGTCAATCACTTTGTGTTATTCAGTGGCTATGAAGGCATCCTGTAGTAAACTTGTTATGATGACGACAATGCATTTGTTTCTTGGTTGAAGTGTACTTTTTAAAAATTCAAAGGTACGTTTCTTTTGAAAAATTCATAACGATTAGGGAACTGGGATTTCCAGTGACTAATAGAAACTATAGAGCGATAATTCATTTATGAACAACTTGTACTTTAGGAGATTTGTTTTATACGTAGTTTGCTGTAAGTAGTTTAAGATTCAACGTGTTAGGTTCTATAACCTTTTGTGCTGTGGTTATTTATAAAACGATGATGTGCTGATGTCGAACTTGGTCTATAAATAATTCGATTTTATTGATGTTCATTCAATTTTAAAAACTACACAAATTACAAATAGGCATGCGAGCTTCAAGTCTCAGGATCAATTCTACATATACCTAAATGTTATCTTAATTTTGTTTTTGAGGTGTATTTTGATTAAACTGAATTGTGTACATAAAATGCACAGAGTACCTACATTCAAATAAACTTCTAAGTCCGGTAACTTGTAACTACACTAGTTTGCGGGTATCGTTGGTTGGTTAGGTGCCGTACTACATCCGTGGAAAAGCCAGATGAAATCGTACCTTAATTAATAAGTATCCAATGAGAAAACTAGACGAAGACGATTAAGAGCCGATTTTTCAATCATCAGTGTTAATTCTTAACTGCAGATAAATATACATTAATTCTTAATACTGTTTTTAGTATGAAAAAATTGTCAAATATTCAAAGTAAAAATTTATTTGGCATTGGAAAAATCGGCCTTTAGTCTTAACAATAGACGTACCTACTAGTGTTCGATAAATTTAGTTATTTTTAACACTTTAATAGACTCTCTTTCTCAAGTCCTAGACCAGCAGCGACCACGAAGGTTTAACTCTAAAGTACATTCCTATAGGATAATTATGGGAAACTCGTTTTCCACGTCGACATAGGCGAAGCCGCGGGCAAAAGCTAGTTACATGAATGAATAAATATAAAATGTCCACTTGAAGCAAAACACGCGATAATCCCATCGGATTCATTACATGGACAAGTACATAATAACAACCAGAACATAGATATAATCTATGTTTCAAGTCTTAGAAGCAATGAAATCTGTCAACATAATTTAACATCAACCATTTTATTACATTCAAGGAAGACGAACTAGACATAAATAGACTGCTGTTAAGTAGTTAGGTAGGTAGGTACTGGTTTCTTATTTGTACAAGTTTGTCATTCCAATTCATATATTAGTTAGTATATGATACAAAGGAACTCTTCAAATAAGTGAACCATCTTTATACCCATATACATTTACGAAGCTTCTTTTCCTGCACCAGCACGGCAAATGTGAAGAAGCGAGGGATGTCGCTGTGGTCGCGGCACCATTGCAAGTTGTTGTCGCTGCGTTATTTGACTACATGATCAGCGTTATGTGCGCTGTTAGCTCGCATTGTATAAGCTTGTTTTATCTGAGCTCGCCGTGTTATTTCTCAGTGGGAGCGTCGGTCGGAGCGCGCCGCCGGCCCTGCCGCGGGGCCTGCGGGATATGCAGTGCTCCAACCCCGCCCCGCAACGCCGCCTTCGCCCCCTCACTTTTTTTTTTAATCAACTCACTTGGGGGCACAATATAAAATATTCTTCGCTTCAAAATCTTGCGAAATCATGAATATTCAGAGCCCAACAGTCGATCGTTAGTCGCAAAATGTAGGTACCTACTTATAGTTAGTTTAGCGTCTAACTATACAAAGATGATTATTTTTGTAGTTAGACTACAAAATATCACTTTTCACGTCAATGTATCGTAAATAAGTATGTCCTGCTTTTCTTATCGAACTCCCCAGATAAGAAAAACTGAAACAAACTCAGAGGTCACAGTCTCTTTCCAAGTCTAGACATAATAGAGTGGGAGTACAGTGCAATCTAATTCTGTAGTGATGTTTTGAAGAAAGTAACCACAAATTTGAGTGAGTCAGTTAGAAAGTAACCAAAAGTTTGAGTGCGTCTGTCTGTTTAAATGTGAGGATGATACTCCGTGAAACATCATCATGTTCCAGTTCTCTGGTCATTTCCTGAGGACTAGAACATTTCGTCTTTTTTTTTAATGAGGAAAATCATCGAATGTCTGCTCCCGCCTGGGTGAGGCGGGAGGGAGTGTCAGACTTTTACTGACTAAAAACCACCCAGTTCAGTTGTTAAGTTTTCAGTCAGTCGAAGCGCAGGAGAAATCCTGCGCTTAGAGCCGGAGCCCCGGTACCCCGTTAGGTTCTCCGCGACTCCGAATCGGCATCAGTCCTGTTGGGCCCCATCCGTGGTGGTCTGATGGCTCTTTGAGGCACGCGCAGAACGCGACGCGTCGAGAACATTTCACCTTGTGACTATTATAATACTAAGTAGGTACCTATAAATTAAAATGCCAAATTCTAGTAAATGCGTGTCGTTAAATATGATGTCGCATTGTTAATAATCAGTCAATTGTCACAATCGTGGCAATCATCACAACTTGTGCAGAAGCTACAGCAGATCGTTGTCAAGTGTGACCCTTTAAGTAACCATTTATTTTTTCAATTTACTCGGTACTTGAGTAAAATAGTTGGAGAGCACTCAATCGGAAATCATTTTGTATCTAGTTCACTCGAATCAACGAGTCACTGACGCACGATCAATTTGCATCACTCTACAACTGATCGCAGAACGGTCGGGTTGTTTAATAGGTGCTGTTCTTTATCATTTTGTAGTTGCATTTTTTATTTATAATTTCTCCTGTGCCTTGATTCGGATCTCCTTTTGTAGCCCTAATCCAAAAATTTTGGATGCAGTAAATTAATTTCACTTAGCGTAATCATCTTTTCTGTGATCATTGGTATTGATATACTTATCAGCCACAATTTGTTCAGTGCTGACACGAGCTCCTATAAAATTCTCTGATAATTTAATGATAATGTTTATTGTGTATCTATATTTTGCTAAATTATGTTATTTTTTCACAGATATCCGGAGTCTAGACTGAGCAAGATGTTCAACGGCACGATTCCAATAGTCTTGGACACTCTGAAGCAGCATTACTTCATCGACCGTGACGGTGGCATGTTCCGCCATATCCTCAACTTCATGCGTTACAAAAAGCTGTTGCTGCCGTCTAACTTCCAATACTTGGACCTGCTGATCCATGAGGCGCAGTTCTTCGAGCTGGACAGTAAGTTCTTTCTTCTTTGTTATTAATTTTAAAGACTTCTTAGGTGTTCGTATTAATTGGTTTCAATTATAATTACCTACTACCTACATAAATCTATATAGACTTCAAACTACATACATAAATTGCGATCTTGTGTTTAAATTATATGACCAGAAGTGGATTCTACCTAGGAAACGCCCTTAGCGAGCCCCTCATATGCACCCCTAATTTTTTTCGTGTCGTTGCGCCCGCGCCCCTCTGTATCCTTTCGCCCAAGGCACTTTCCTAGTGTACCTTAGGGATATACGATTGCATATGACATGGTATCAATTTACTAACCTAATTAAGAACATGGATTACTTATTATGTTGATTTCGTTGCATTATGAGTTTAAGAAATATCGTACCCTAAATTTGTTCATACAAAAGTAGCCTCTAGTTATCGGAAATAAGGTCTTTAATGTAGTTAGTAGAGAGCGGTTTCCGGCGACCGCTTGGGGATTAAACATTTTGCTGTGCGTTTATACGTACCTTTTTTTGCTTGTGCGATTCAACCTTTTTTCAGTTGAATTACATCTTTTGATCCGAGGATCTGATCAATGTGGTTCCTTGCGACTTTGCTATGGTTTTAAATAACTGCCCTGCGAGTATATTATATTAGTCATTTATTTATAAAATTATAAGCAGTTACCTATCTTTGTACAAACAGAAACAATATTAAAATGCTGCGTTAAATTTGTGTTGTTGCAATCGACGACATTTTGTATTAATATTATAGAAATCGACTATTTGAAAAGGATGTTTTTGATGGTACAATTTTCTGCTTCAGCGATTCGGTTAATTCAAATTTACAATTATTATTAATGGTTGTATGTATCATTAGATTTATTTATATATTTGTATTATGCTGCTGTTGCAGTTAGTGTTTATAACTATGGCCTCTGCGAACCTTTTTTAAAATAAATAGTTGTAAACACGTTACTTATAAACAAATAAAACGTATTAATGATTTTCTTGGAAAAATACTTCGTCTATGTATTCTTAAAATAAAACTTTTTTTATATTTATTTGTATTACAATATCGAGAATTATGTTAAAGACTTAACTAGTTTCTAGACACGTTAGGGGCTCAAATTCATAGCAGCATTACGCGACACAATAATCAAGTATTAAATTATTAAAGAACTAGCTGTTGCCCGCGACATCGTCCATATACAATATGAATTTTAGAATAGAAATTTTTTTGTTTCAATTTTCCAAAAAATATGGCGTATGTTACTCCTTCATCAGCTATCCGCCAATAAGTCTTGTAAAATCGGTCCAACCATTGTAAAGATTAGCCAATACAAACATATGTTTGTATTGGCTAATCTGTCTTCTGTCTGTCTGTCTGTGTCGTAATTCAGACAGACAAAAATTTTATAAAAGGTCGTTTTGGTATATGCATGTACTAAAAAGCGGTTATTTTAATATTACAAAGAGACACTCCAATTTTATTTTTCTGTATAGATTGGTCAATGAATACTTAAATAAAAAGTAGCACTAAGTAATATTGTAACCGATGCAAAGCCTTTGCATTTTATCGTCATAATACTTTTATGATTTTGATAATTTCTTTAGTTATATTTTGTCATGTATACGGTATGGGTACGATAAATAGTTGGAATGCGATGGGAATGTGGATAATTGGGATGATGACAGAGTATGAAAATTAAAAATCAAAATAATAAATATTATACACGTATTTTTTTATTTTGTCGTATAATAAAACAATACTTAGATAAAATGAATCAAAGTTTAGGAGTGGGGGCTAAAACGTCATTTCTACGTATAAAATGTAGGTGAAGTCACGCGACATTTCAAATCAATATATCGTCGAAAGTACCTATTCGTTTCTGTAAGAAAATAAAACATACGTGTCTATTGATTTAAAAAAAATACCAGACGGACATGCTCATATTTGTCAGTCTGCATTGTGTTTATTGATTATAGGCAGTTATAGCCATAATCCCCAATTTCAAACACCGCACACAATCGTAATGCCTTGTATTTAATCACACTCCGTGAGTGTTAATACGGTCTATGCACGTACTTGATTATCAGGTACCTACGAATACAACTGAAAGGTATGATGGGGTTGACATGTACCCACTATATAAAAAACCCCTTAATAAAAAATTGTTTGAAAAAAAAAACAGAAAGTAATTATGTTAATTATAAGGAAGCTTTCATTTCTGTTAAGCAAGTGCTATTAACACGCTACCAACCGATGCGAATATTTTTATTGCAAAATGCACGACTTTATAAGTACATTAAGTTATATAATATATTTCCTTTAATTATATATTATTGCTATATTCTTACAATAATTGTATTTACTATATACTTAAATTAAGTATCTTGTAAAGAATGAGCAGTCTTATGTTTGCTCCTCAGAAGCCACGAATGTAGGCGTGAGGTATAAATACCTAGTTCAGTCGCCGTACTTAGGTGTCAAAATAACTGTCTAATGGTTTGTCGCTAGTTTGTTGTCCATTATACAAACAGGACTACACGGTATATAGGGTGGAATTTTGTAATGCCACCCGAGAGAAAATTTCATTGTTGCCCTTTCATTTAACTTATGAAGTTTATTAGAGAAATTTCATCCTTATTCACCCTAACGATCGATACAATAAAAGTTCAGGGCAACTTTTACAGATTTTAGTCGGTTTGATAACGGCAAGCGAATTTTTTTACCGACCCGCAATTATGCAAGCGTGGTGATCTTCTTTAATATATCTATGGTGGTGATTAATGCTTAAACCTTCTCCGTGTGAGAAGACGCTTTGCTCAGCAGTGCACATTTATTGGCTGTTGATGATGAAGCGAATTTTTAATTAAAAATATTTGAATGCAGTTTTCTTTCTTTACAAAAATAAAGAAAAGTATTCTTTGAGTAAAATTTTCTATCTAAAGTATTAAGAGACTTCTCCTTCAAGTGGTATTACAATATTCTATCCTGTATAAGCGCAATTTGGAGAGCAAAAGACAATAACCCTGTAAAGTTTCGAAATGTAAATATATAATGTCTATGTTATATTTTCCAGACATGGTGTATGCGCTGACGAAGGTGAAGGTAGAAAGGGAAGGCATAAAGCAGGACAGGGAGTGGCTGAGTGAAGCTACTGAACGTCTGAGGAAGGAAACTGAGATGTTGATGCACGAACGTGACCGCCTGCAACATCGCTGGTCTTAAGCAGAGGTACGATAGCCGATTTTATAAATCCTTTTTTAATAACTAACCTGTAAAAGTAGTCTCTACACATTAGTAATAAGATCTAAAATAATGGTGAGTGAGAGAGGACACTTGTATCCTTTTGGCTTGTTTCGGGAAGTTAGTCATTTTGCCCTTGTTATCGGATTTGAAAGAAGGTTATTGGTTAAGAACTATATGTAAGTAGCAATCATTATAAATTTTCCATCAAACTCCGTGCTACTACTGATAATTTTATTTTGAAAAACCCAGTAATTCTTTGCCCGACCCGGGAATCGGACCCGAGACCCTTTGCCCGGCAGTCGCAATTGCGACCGAGCCAACTTGGCTATAAAGGCAGTCCGAAGCAGTCCGAGGTATTCCGTGTTCATTTACTATATAGGTACTTACATTCCAATACCACGGGGTCTAGCGTAAATCTCCGGGTTGGGCAAATTCTATTTTAGGTCGATTACTTTTTAAGTATCCTGTAGGTCCGAAAATACAAGGACGTTGAAAAAAGGCGGCCAATCTCTCTTAAAGCACCGAATGTGGCACCTGGTTACCATAGACTTACACGCAGGACATACAGAAATTGACTCAAAGGACATCTGTCATTTGCTTATGATACCTACCAAAAGGAAGCCTATTACACACGCATATATACAAATAAGATAGTAACATTTTGATGCTTTAATCATTTATGTCCACATTGTTTTTAATGTCCTATCAAAAATATTTTAAGTTTTGGCATTGAAATAAATAATTTCCTACTCAATTAATGTGGTTTATATTTCCCGCGTTATTTTGACGTCCAACAATTCATGCAGTAGCGCCATCTTTTATAATCATTGCGTATCAATTCTTGAAATACTAAGACGACTGCTTACAAACTTGTAAATATTTTATCACAATTTCTATACAATAAAAAATGTTGTAACTTAAAGTCAAAACAACTTTTAGTTCACAGTTCTAATAAAGTGATGTGTAGATTTTGAGTTGACTAAACTAGCTTAGCTTTCATTTTAGTTCACAATACTTTTATTAGATGGCGTTATCACATGTTTTAGATAAAAAAATATTGTGGTGTCCTAATTGACGAAACTAATATTATTTTATCAATTTTGTTATTACAGACTACAGTTTCTAAGAACATCAGCTGATCCACAACCGAAGAGACGTCGCATTTAAGTATTACTTTTAAGTTCTTTTTGAAGTACCGTTTCGTATTTACTATTTAGAATTTGTAATCAATTTATTTTCAGTAGAATTCCAAAGTTAGTTATATTTAGTTACGTTAGTTATGTTTTTAATGATTTTCTAATTAGGCATAGTAGCGAGAGTTTAGTTATTATAATAATAAATGAGTTATCAGTAGGAGACATCATAAAACTTTATTAGTTTTAAATTTAATTATAAAATTATCTTAGTTTTAACATTCAGAATTCGTTAACACGTTATAGGGATTCACAGAAATAATTTTGACTATGTAGGATATAGTAAACCTAAAATTATATAACTTGCTTAATTGCTATATGGATTTAATTTACCAACCGACTAGATACTTCTGTACCTAACGCAATATTTACATACAATAAATGTATAGTTGGTAACCGACTGTAGAATTCAGGTACAAAAATATTGTTCAGGATAATGCATTCATAATGCATTCATTGTCGTATCCAAATTTTCTTAGGTATGTTATTTCTAAGAACCTATATTTTTTATTCCTGTGAATATTTATAACGTGGAAAATATTCGTTGTTCCTTTATAAAAACAGTTGTTAAGTACTATTACTTGTTTTAATTGTTAATCTTATTTTATAAACGTGAAACGTTACATTATTTTTAAGTAGATATTTTCCTAGCTACGTATTTCTTTTTTAAGTAGGTACCTAATTGATTCAAAAACATTATTATACTTACATATAATTGTTCAATATTATACTATTAAATCATAAGTAGAAGTAGCATTATTAATATATCTAATTAAGTAAATACTTATATCGTTAATTCTATTTTATTAATTTAAGGTGAAATTTAAGTGAATGATATATAAAATGGTAATTATAAAAGCTAACTTAGTATTCATGTTTCAGAGCTAATGAAACATGTTTGGTGGACATTTATTGGCTATATTGTTTAAAATTATTTGTAGATAATAAATATCGGTGAATCGTTTACCAGAATTGTGCTATTTACTTAGGTGTATATTAGCATTTTGTACATAGATTGGGCTGGTGGCTTTTAGGGTAGGCTACACAGAATGTATGCTCACTTCGGCATGAACGATTATTGATTATTTCAGCGAGTCAAAACATTAGAAAGCTCATGTTTTCTTAACATATTGAATACTTGAATATCACCTTTTAGACAAAAATATGATTGTATGGAATCAAGGAAACTAGAACAAAAAAGCAAGCGATATAGAAGCAGACCTGATACGAATTGTCTGTCCTGATAAATTTAATACGATGTGAGGGCAAAATCTTCTCAAAATTAATTAAGATTTCGATTTAATTTATGGATTAAAAAAGAATGAAGTGAGGTATCAGAACCTTCGCAAAGACTGATCTTATTGATGACGGTTTCGGTATTAAGATACCTATGGGTTTGAAAGTGTTTAATGGCGTTAAAAAGACACGTGTCAAACTGAATTAGGACTATTAATATGAATGAGCGCGAGATGATGACAACAAAAAGAGTTGAACAATTGTAGAAGCAAGAAGCAGAGAAAGTAGAAAGTGATATCTTTTGTTATAGGTAAGCACTATTTATGTGAATGCACGTTGTACAGATTAGGTGACCATCAGTCGACCTGAAAGCTTTGCTGCCACCAAAAGTAGTATGAAAAGAAAGGATGAAATCCATATAACTGAGCGAATGTGATGGATGGATGTAACGGAATGAAAACCAAAGATTTGTTTAGAAGGTTTGAGAAGAAGTGAAAATGATGTCATAAAAGTAATAGAAAAAGTACAATACTAGATACTTGGGATGAGGCTAGACTTTCTATAACTAAATTCTTTAAACAAGTAATCAAAATTACGCAGGTATTGATCACTAAATTATTGTTGTTGTGTCCACCTCGAAAATTCAATCTTCTGCAATAGCATTCAAGTTTTTATAAATATTTATATTGTCATTTACTTGAACTTCTATTTTTATTAAACCCTTATTAGGGGTAGTATTTAGGGCTCTCTCATTTCAACAAAACATACCTCGAAAAGTAGCTTAGTTGTTTTTTTAGTATAGACATGCGCACAGGTGTCTGGAAGTCTGATCTCATTGATAAATTAATGTGATTGGCTATTGTGAATGAGGAAGACGTAAAGCGATGGTGCTGCCACCGGCTTTAATGCTTAACTTTGACTCACATAGATTTGTTCTATGCATTGACACCACGTGAGACTAAAGGAAAAGTACGTGACTGGCACTGTCGTTTTGTTTCTTTCTTTCCAATAAGAATTATTATCTATTTCTTGACGTTTTTTAGCCTCATCTCTGTCAGTTAAATTCCCAAAATTCTTATCTGAACAATAAAAAAATGACAGAATGTTTTATTTCGATCAATCTTCGAGATGTCTGATGTTACTTGTTTAGGATAAGATTTGGTTAAGTCGTTGTTTGAGGCTAGTTAATTTTAATTTTACCTGTTATCTATGAGGCTAATTTTTTAATTTGCTCCATTTCACGTAGAAGACAAAGATAAAACACCTTGATACATAATTCCAAGAACAAGTTAATGTACCTACAGTAGATATTATTTAGTCCATTTAGTGTCAGTATAAAACTTTCGCTACCTTTTAGCTGCAATAATATTAAAATTATTCCCATCAATATTTATTAAGATTAATCTTTAATATAAACTTATTTCTAAGCCTTTGCTTTTAATATTGATTTCATGGAATATAAGTAAATGTTTTCGGATGATCTGCAACCTATTAGATTAGACTAGTATAAGCCCGTACTTCGGTATTATCGTCCCGGTACGCGGTATTTTATCTCAGGTTATACGGTGTAGAAAAAAGAAACCAGGAAACTTAAAATTCGCTACTTCAAGGCAGGTATTCTTGATTCATATGAATAAACCAAATATTTGGTAATAAATTTTGGTTAACATACAATATTATAATATTAAATTATGTTAGAGACACAAAAAATAAGTAACATGTATTTCTAGCCACACAGCCGCTTCCAGCTTTTGACAATACAGAGGACCCACAATTTTATTGCCCTATTCTAATTAAGGAGAACATCCCTAACTGCCCTATTATAATTAAGGCTTATTTATTGTGTCTGTTATGACCCGGTTAGGTTCTAAAACTGCAACCAGCCACCGAGGAATGGGCTGCAGCATTCCTAACTGCGATCCTCAAGCCGCCTACCAAGCGTGAGTATCATGGCACACCCCCTCCCCCTTCACTATGAACAACAATATACGCACACGGCACCCATTCCCCGGCAGCTCCGCTATTACTAATGTAGGTAGCGGATCGGGTAATGGCGGAACGGAGTGCTAAGAATCCCCGGTAGATAACCGCTACCACCCCTAACAAACTTTGACCCTGGAAACACGCAACATCCGCACACTGCGGACCGATGAGAAGATTGTCGAGCTGGAGTGTCGATTGTCGCTGGAGGACCTAAATACCATGCTCAGCGACCTCAATACCGTCTCCAAACAGATGGGTCTAGAATGAACATGACAAGACCAAAATCATGTACAACATCCATATTACACTTGTACTGGTCATCGTTGGGAACGATATCCTCGAAGTTGTAGACCATTATACATACTTAAGGCAGATTATCCAGCTAGGTAGATCCAACTTCAACAAAGAGGTCGCCCAAAGAATCCGACTCGGATAGGCAGCTTTCGGGAACGGCACGAAATCTTCTCATCGAAAATGCCTCAGTGCCTGAAGACCAGGATATTTAACCAGTGTGTGTTGCCAGTGATGACGATAGTGATAGTACCGAGACGTGGTTCTTGACTTCTGGCGTTCTGGAGAAACTCAAAGTCGCTCAGTGTGTGATGGAGAGAGCTATGGTCGAGGTTTCTTTGCGCAAAACTAGAGTTACTGACATAGCTCGCGACATTTGCAGACTGAAGTGGCAAAGAGCAGGCCTCGTCGCTTGACGAACTGTCAGCAGATGGGCCAGGAAAGTCCTTGAGTGGAGCCCACGGACCGAAACACGGAACGTGGGCAGGCCTCCCGCTTGGTGGACCGACGACATCGCCAGAGCTGCGGGGAGCCAGTGGATGCAGGTGGCGAGTTGTCGTTCGATGTGGAGGACTAACAGCAAGGTCTTTGTCCAGCAGTGGCTGGACGTCTCTCGGCTGTTGATGATGATGATTGTGTATTCATTTATTTATTGGTCATACCAACTGTTTTAAATATATTGTACAGATTTTATGATAAACAATAAACGGTGTTTTAGGACGCACGAGGCGGCCAGATGTCTCATTGGGTGTGAGCATGGCTGTGGTAAAGATATACCTGGCATAGTATAAAAGCCGTCGCCTACAAGGAAAACTTCTTTCCTCACTCATCCTTGGAGCACTAAAAGTGCCTACGCCATAAAACATCCGAACGGGCACGCTTTACCACACGACACCATCACGAAACACACCAATAAAACAACCAACCAACACGAAACACACCACGGTTTACCCACCCACACGACTTTAGCTTGTTTCAATCAATGCACACAGTATCTCCCAATATTCTTATTTTAGTCAATTTTTGATTCTTGATTTCTTATTTCTATGCCGTATATTGTTATAGAATAATTTTAAGTTGATTAGTAAGTACAATAATTAAGGTTACCCGTAAGTTTATATTCCACATAGTGGTATTATTTAGCTTAACTAATTGCGTACATTTATCTTCATTAGCCTATATAATTGTAGAGGTAGATATTTCACTTGTGATTATTAAACTAATAAAATAAATAAGTGGTTTTATTTATATAATTTTAAATATCCTTTATTCACCATGTAACAATAAATTTTTCCATACTTGATTTCCATATTTTAAATATTTGATTATAAAAATAAAAAAAGTTTAAAAATATGAAAAGCAGTACCCCACCAGTAACGGGAGAAATCCAAGCTACCAGGCCTGGCAGGGCGCACAGAGGAATTTCCAGAAGTTCTGCTTTCTGCATCTAGCCGAACGAACGCTAACCTATTCAGGTGTTGGTTGAGGTTTTTGGAAATGAGGCCATGTGCAGATATGACTATCGGCACAGTAATTGCTGTTATTCATCATGTTATCATGACAATTTTCCTGAACTTAAAATAAGTCTCTGCTGGTGAAATGTCATTGTGTGATCTCAGGACCTTCGGATGTTTGTCACCCAGGAACTATAAACGTTCCTTTATATAAAATGGGGAAGCAGGATTTAAAAGTACGTTAAACAGAAAAGATATGAACATTCTGGCGAAGGCGGATAGGAAGCCATTTGAGCTTACTACGAAATGTAGTTACTAAAGATTATAAAAATAATCAACTCAAGTGAGCAAATGAGCCCTTTTCAGCTTAATTCACTCCCATCCTGCCCATCAATTAGAAAATATTATACCTGGGTATGCATCATTAGGGGTATTTGGATACTTTAAGACATTAAAACTTTCTTCATAATGTTTTAAATAGATAGACGAATAAAACAAATAATTGTTTTTTTATATTCTTTATTCACTACCCACAAATTACAAGTATTGACTGAAAGGTTACAATTACAATGTTGCTTTACATTAACTTTACATCAACAATCATTCTAATTATGTGGCTGATGAATCCTGGCCAACTATTGCGGGTATCCGCAGCTACGAATGTAGCTACACATGGAGGTGTAGGTAGTATATTATGTATTAAGATTATCATTACGTGTCACTTTCAATTCAGACTTCTGTATTTCCACACTTCGACTAATTTATCAAACTTTTCCAATTTACTTACGAAAATATTTTTATTTCGAATTCGATCAAAATCTTCGTAAAAATCACTTCGAATTATTATTAAAATGTTGTATAATTTCCCAAATATCAACGTGTCATATATTTTCGTATAAGTTCGACAGTCCAAATCCTCTTTTAAAGCTCGCACTTTCCCTAATTTCCTACTATGGGGAAATAATATAAAATTCCATCAACAAAGATTTGATGGTTGCTCAAAACTATATTTTTTTATAATTATGTCTGGAAACTTCTTAATGATAACTACTACTACATTGTTCGTAAAGTTCGCTTCCAATAATATCAGATGGTTTATTACAATCATAATTAAGGTTATTCAAAGGACCACTTAACCAATCTCAATCTTTTGAAATAAAATCTACAATAGATGTAGACGCGGACGAAATTTAGAGAGCACCCTAGGTGTCCTTTTTTGGCGCCACCGTCTCTCTATGCCAGTTGGGGACGCGTGTCTTGCGGAGGCTCTCTGCCGTCTGGCGCCCTAGGCAAGTGCCTACTTTGCCTTAAGGATAGTACGGTTCTGTCTACGTCACTATAAGAATTTCCAATAGGTACTAAGTGTATACAAAATATTAATATAATTATTTGTTTAGCCAACGGTTTATGAAATAAGTGACTGGAAAAGTGTATCCTTTCGTACCATTTTGTAGATATAGTTACATTTCTATTTCTATGTCAATATCATAAAATTTGGGCTCACCCTAAGCCCTAAACTTAAATGAATTCCAATTTAGGATTTTAATTTAAAAACGAAAAGTCACAAACATTTTGTTTCAAAATGAATACATGTAATTGAAAATAATTGACCAACGATTTTCGTCTATTGCTTCAGTACGTATCAGAAACAATTAAGACATTAGGTACGAACCATTTATATTAATCAAGTTACAAACGACCGCTTTTAAGAAAGTCGTAAATTATACAAAATAACAAAAAGAAAACATAAACTATAATTATTAAGATAATGCCTAATTAACGAATAAGTCGTTCGATAAAGAGTTTTTAGATTCGATTAGACAAGCACAGTCAACAGTATTTGGCACTTTCTATTAAAAACTTACATTTCACTATTAGAAATATTTACTTTTATATGACGAGATTACAACATATGGCCACGTCGCTAATTAGGCCTTCGTCGCAATACAATATTTGTAAAACATTGAGAGTTCAAACTACATTTTGTTTCTCATTATCTAAAAATCTACTGCAAACTTGTTAGCTTTGTCCCACGATTTCACGTCTTCGCTAACTACATGGGTCGCAGAGTAGTGATAGCAGAAGGAGTTGTAAAAACATTTAAACATCCGACCTGTAGTTATATTACCGCATGACAAACAAACAGACTTGTTTACGTATAAGCATATATTATGTAGATTGATGAGATCTATGCACTCGTATGATGACCAAAATTGTATATATTGGTGTGCACACAAGTAGAGCGAAGCTCCGAGTAAAATTACGTATCTACAGTGATAAATCAAAGTCCTAGTGTCAAATGCAATATTAAAGTCAACAATTTTCGGTACTGACTGGCTCTACCCACTAGTCTAACTAGAATATTAATGTTATGAATATAATCGAAGTGTTATGAAGAAGCTTTGATATCTATAACCTTTATAGCAATTGCTCTGTTCCGTCTGACACAATGTGACAGGATACATGGCAACTTTTACAAAAAAAAAACTATTTTTTTTTCTATTTAGGCATTATTAAACCTCTCTTGAACATTCTACAGATTTAAAATCATTGATCAATCAGTGTTTAACTTTCTAACTACACAAAAGATTTTCATCTTACCTTTACTTTAATTAAAAGGTTCAATGATGCACAAATAAACAATAACATAATAGAAATTAATTATCCCCTCAGGGTTTTATAAAAAGGTAATAAAAATCAAAAAGTCAACTACAAAATGCTGAAATATAAATCTAAACAAATCGCTTAAACTTTAACATATATTTTGAAGCCAACAATTAAAAATACTCAGTCTTACGATACGTCAAAATAAGATATTTCTAAGTTATGCGTTACACGAAAAACAGGGACTATGTCAAGATTAGTTTCACTTTCAAACTTTGTCTTTAATTAACGAAGTTGTTGTGACAAACTGGTTGACGTGACTAGTTTCTTTAACATTTAAAATTTTTGTTTAACTTTGGCAATATAGATTACCTACTAATGAAGGTGTCTTAACGAAATATTTTGCTTGCTACAATTCTGTAGGCGTGTTCTGGTATACCGTAAGCGGTTAATCAAATCAAAATTTGCGATTACACTTACATAGCTTAGAATAATCTTAAACAAGTGATTTTGTCGAATCTGTTCGACGTAATTACTAGCTACGTGTATTCGTACACTACTAACGATATAGCTACCACTACTCAATAACATGGATATATAAGAACATTAAACTTAAGTATATTAAAGTGTCCATTTTGGAACACCGCTTTAAAACTAACCAGTTATATCCTGGGCTAATCAACGTTGATAAATACAGGGTTATTCATTACTTTATACTTTTTTAAACATTTTGTTGAGACCCACCAACTATATGGTACGTGCCGTATTATTATTGAATCGATGCTGGTTCTAAAATAACCCTGTAATTAATGAAATCACTGAGCTGTTAATGAAAAACGCCTTATTCACAAACTAAATGCCAATGCTATATTTAAATTTGCTTAACATCTAGACACTTATTACGCTTAACAGTGACTACAAGGACCCGTAATTTTGAAATCTTGATATCAAAGGTTAATGACACTAAATCCATAACAACTACATCCCTACAACTATAGCTAAAACATGTCATAACATCTACCATTAATATTATAAACTAAATCTACATAATATTTTATCCGAGATCTTTACAATTCAACTTTGAAATAAAGGTACAAGAAGTACACACGTCTCAGAGAATTGTTCCAAATATGTCCGAGACAAATTATTAAAACAGTTGCGGTAGGGTTCTTAGAGTGGCTTCTTCTTTACCACAGAGCACTACTTACAACAGCTGCTTTCAACAAAATCAACAGGACATTGAACAAAACCTCAATTCATCTAACACATTAGTAGATTAATCACAAAACATTAGTGAGTTTTGTATTTAAAAACTTATTCATAATTTGATAAATCAACATCTGGTGGCTTTTGCTCCTCTTCTTCAGTGTGTTCCTCAATTTGGCCCAGAATATCTTCGACCTCAGAGGAACTCTGAAATGTTACAAAACTTATATTAGTCTCAGTTATAAACTTATAACAGAATATTATAGCAAGTTGATATGGACTTAGTATAAAACATATTATTATTTTACTTGGATTTAACTACAGGGCAAAGTAGAAGTAACTATAACTGTGACGTATGTCAACATAGCGATAGCGCAACATACAGTTACAACTTACCAATAAATCAAGAAACGATGGATCAAACTCGTCCAAAGAATTCAATGCCGATTCAATTTGGTCACTGTCCAAAACTGAAAAAGACAAAATTAAATTAGTACCGTCTATGGTGGATATAATACTGTTCTAAGTGCCCATAGGACTTCATGTCAACATAATTACTCACATGATTCATCAAATAACGATTCAAGTGGTGATCCTGAGTTTGAACTTTGTTCATTTGTTCGGAATACTTCGGTTTCTGTCACCTTCTTTTTGTAAGCAACCTCACAATCGTCAAACTCATTATTACGTCGCTTATTTCCACAGGAGTAGGTACTTGTGCTCGGTTCTGGGTACAGATATGGTTCAAACAAGTCTGCTGGCACTGAATATTGGGATGGCATGTAGTGCGCCGGTTCTGGTGTCTCATATGGGATTTCCTCCACAGTAGCAGGAAGGGGTTGCTCATAGAAAATGTCATCAGCATTTTCATTCTGATCAAAATTACCCAAAAATAGTGTAAAGTCAGAGAATGGACTTGGTGACGAGTCAAAATAGCCCAAATCAGGAGACGCCACTGTGTTCAGAATCGATGGGGGATTGTATTCTTGTTGTGGTATTTCAGGGGTAGGAGAAGGGTATCTGAAGATGTTCTCGGGAACGTGCACGTAGTTTGACACGTGGCAGCTTTGGAATGGAGCCACCGGTGCTAGCTGTGAAGGTGCTACATTCTTTTCTATTTGGTTTGTATTGTTATACTTGGGAGTGCTGTGGCTTGACCCGGCGTAGCTACTTCCCTCTTCATGGTTTGAATCTCTGGGGACCGCTTTGATAACATTGTAGATTTTTTCAATCGCGCTAACTATTCGCTCCTTGTTTGGAGGAATTATTGTAAGATGATGTGGCGATTTACTTTTCTGCGGTGAAGAATTTGGTTCATGATTAGATTCTGTTGGCGCAGGCGATGGTAAATTGGTGACCAAATGTAGAATAACTTGCTCGAGGCGTCGCGGGTCTTCAACCGGGACCGCCTCGTCATCATTTTGCTGAAAAATCAAAAGGAATATTTTAATTTTAAAATTAATCGAATACAACTAACTTTTGCGAATCCTGACTAAATCAACAAGTTAACAAAAGTATACAAGACACTTACCTCATTTTCTTCAGGAGCATCTTCAATTTCATCCACTCTAGGGGATTCATTGTTGTTTACCAATAGCCTGAATTTCCTTTTCATGAGTTTAATTAATTGTTTGCCTTCTTCCTCGTCGACAACAGTGTTGGTACACACGAAACTCGTGACAGCACGCGAGTCCCTGTCGACGTCCAGAGAGCCGCGTGTCCTCATGTAGATGGACTGACCATTTTTGGTAATGAGTCGGTAGCATGATTCGCCAAATAGCCTGTGCTGGTCGTACACTGCCAAACAAAAATTCTCAAGTTAGATGCTAATCGATGTATGTTTTCAACGCTAGGGATACGAAAGATGGTTGTTAAAAGTCGCTAAATGCATCAGGCATAGCAAAATATCACACAATTATTATTATAGTCCTGCAAATTACTATCATATTTCAGTAATATTTTGTGCGTTTTACGAAGGACTGAAGGACTGAAGGACTGAAGTTTAAACAAATAGATAATGTGCCCATTTAAGTATATAACAAATTCTGAATATCTATTCATTTGCCTTTGAGAACTCGTCTAAGTATACCTCTTGATATCAACTCAAACTGATAAAGTAATCAGCATTGAATAAAATGTATTAGATATAAGACTGTCGTTATGCACTGTAATGGAAAAATAGAAAGTGGTTAATTCAATTAATAATAATTTATAGAATGGCGATAGACGTGGCTGATGAACAGGCGGTAAACAAGTGCCACTAGATGATAATACAGCTTGTCTGATTACGTACATATTTACTAACAAGCCGTTAAGCGACATTTTCATATTCTATTTGTCAGAAAATGCACCTACGTTACAAAGGAAAATATTCGAAACATTTTATTTTATACTGAAACAAACGCATTCCTTAGTAAATAGAACTATGTGTCACATAGCCAAAAACGGATTCGCAAAGCACATAAAACATTTGAATGTAAACAATACCTATGCAGTAATATTTCAGGAATATGTTTTGCATACATTTCAAAATCGACATTTTTTAATCATAAGTCTGCTCTCGTATACCGACACGCTTTGCCTGTAAATCGACGAGCAAGACATCTTTACTAAGAATGTTTTTAAGACTTTCTATGAACATCCGTATTTCATATTGGTGTATTGTTCAGATTCTAATAATTCTATTTCAGTACTAATCAAACGACATAAAGATATAAAAATATGATTTTTTACTGATTTCTATATAGTATTGACTACAACCAACACCGAAGTATTTCCATAATTTTCCATTCTATCACGGAAAGCAAGAATGTACATTTAGTACTTTATACATATTGCTGTATCATTATGTGGAGTTGATAACGTCGACTTAGATCGGTCACCTGTTGTTAGTTTATGTGAACTGTTGCAATCTTATAACCTAGCCTCGGAGGTCGAGTCAAACTCATTTACATTCGCACGGAAAAAGAACCTGTGCAAATTAAACCAACTATCTTAACTATTGTTCCTTTCTATTAGAATCTTGATAAAACAAATTTTTCACCCACGCAACCTTTTTTGTATGTTTACTTTTGTATACATTTAATTGCACAAGCAGATAACCTTCTTACGTTTTGAAAGTTATCTTTATTAGGTCATTTACTTGTAGTTTTAGTGTAAACTATATATAGTAGTTTCCTGCATTATATAAGTATCTGGCACGTGTCTGTTGTTGCTGTGGAGGTTTATTGAGAATTGATGTTATCATAATTGTTGAAACGTTACTCGGGTAGCGAGGCTCCCCGGCTGGCTAAGGACACAATTGTTCACAAGGCACTTACTCTCTCGAAGAGCGATGATGACCCAGCGCACGTCGTCGCGGTGCATGAAATTCATTGCGTTCACGCCGCTGACTTCGTGCGTCATGTAGCCGGTGACGAGAGCAATGCGAGAATCGCACTGTATAATCTCGCCGTCGATCGAGTGCCTGGTGCGATACTCCATTCGGTACGATTCGAGGGCACTCTCGTTGATGAACGTTTCGCTCGTAGGTCGCACAATACCTATGAACACCTGAAACACATTTCGATTTCATTAATTACCTATTGGATAGCAAGTGAATAGTACTTAAAACACGTTTGGGTATTGCAGTCTACATAACTGTTAAGATTAGGTGTTATGCTGTTCAAAAAACAGGAGTCTTATATTTTAACTAAAATCTACGCGAGCACATTAATCGCACAGATGCACTCATTTACGCTTGACCAACTCGGTATCAGTGTTTCTCAACCTTTGGTCGCATTAACTTTGTAAAATAGTCATCTATATCTATATTTATAATAAATCTGTAGAGAGATAAATTCTGTACATGAAATATAATTATTTCCGAAATAATTACTGATGCCAAAAATGCAATCAGAAAAAATTTAGTCTATCTGTCTGTCTACCTGTCTATATATCCTTTATAGAAACAAAAAGTACTTGAGTAATTTTAACGAAATTTGGTTTTTTATTACTCCTGAACTGGTTATACTTTTCATCATGCTACAATCAATAGGAGCAGAGCGGTGAAAGTCAAGAAAAAATTTAATCGTAATTTTATTTATTATGAAAGGTTGAGCATCGCTGTCGGTCCTGTGACCATAATATTGGTACCCTACATTCGCGAAGGTACGTATATGGCCATCTCGCTTGCACATGTAGGAGAAATTAATTGTTACTATACTCTTCAGTTACCTGATTACAATTTAATATCTAAATACCCTATCTTCTTCATTTTTATACAAGCCTTGTGTATTTTACCTACATGTTTCAGTGTATTATGAATTGTATTGTGATCATTTATTTTAAGTTTTTAACTACCTCATCTTGTAGATATTATATCTGCGTAGGTGCACACTAGTGGGTACTTGCTCAGGTCATATTGGTATTTGTATTATTTGTTTGTTGAATGTTTGGACTGCTTAATAATGACCTACTCATTTTGTTGTTGTTTTAGTGATGATAGGCTGATTTTATGATTTTTAAGACTCGCATATGGCTCTGAATGGCAATAAAAACTAATTATACGCTGTCACTTCAGTCTGGCCTGGACCGTATGACTGATTATTGTCAGCCCAACAGGTTAGATTTAAACCTCGCTAATTGCTCTGTCGTCACCTTTATTAGGAATCATGTTCCATTTCAGACTATACCTCTATATAGGTTAAAGGGCCAAATATTATCTAGTAGCCTTGGAGTGCGGGATCTAGGCGTTCACAATGACGCAAAACTCCTTAAATGGTGACGAAAGCCTCCAAGGCACCGGATTTTGTACAGGGGCTCGGGGCTTGTTGCAGGAGGGTAAAAACACTTAACATCTTATACTGCACATTTAGAATACGCTTCCTAAATCTAGAACCCCTACTATGACAGGTACCATATGGAAAGCATGCAAAAAAGATTTGTTTGTTTTCTTTGCACTGTATCGATCGAAAAACTATACAGAATTATGCAAAAGATTTCATCTGCACCCACTTAAAATAATTCGCCATCGAATAGCGGATTGCACATATTTTGTCAAAACCCCCAACAAAGAGATCGAGACCTTCTGCATAAGTTGTCGTTTAATGTTCCGCAAAAATCGGTTCGATTTAACCCACTAATTTTTCCTTAAATTATTATAGACAGAACTTCTATATTGTCCGAGTGAGCAGGGAATTTAATGAACTGTGCAAAGATTTAAGACTCGATCCATTTACCACAAGCAGTTCCATAGTGCGTAGGCGGTTAAAACTTTATTTTTTTGAATAAATATCCTTATTTTTCTACTTTTATATGCATTGCTATCGCAAAACCTGTATCAAGATAATACTGTAGCTAGGCTGACAACCTATAATTGGCTTTGTATAGCATATCCTGAATTGTTTGTAATATAGCTGTTGGTTACCCAAATTGAAAATAGAGGTAGTTAAACAAAAATTATGAATTATTGTGAACTCATAGTCACGCATCGGTTATAAAGTTTTAAATTCCAAGTTACTAATTTTCGAAAAGCCGAAAATCTCAGTACCTATTTACGTATATTTTATCTTGTCGAATATAACTAGACCATGTTCAGTCCATTTGAAATCTTATTTCAATAAGATTTTTCTAATAACAACTAACCGACTAACTTAACAGAGCAGCAATATCTGTTCAAAAACTCATTCTGTATGGTTAGACACAAGTATCCAATAAGGAGTAAGTAATGTAGGAACACGTGAAGAATTTTCTAGAACATCTCTAGTAATGAAAACAATATAAAACTTGTTTTCTGTTTGTTTATTCTCTTTCATCTAAAGCTTTTTACTCTCGGCGCAATATTGCCACGTGTGACTGCGCAGCAAGAAGACTGCTTAGGAAAACGTAAAGGCTCAAAACCCGGGAGTGTTCACGATATCGATAACGTTTTTCATAACACACATACCTAAACGTACGGAATACAAAAAGATAAAATCTTTTGACGTAAATTCGGTATCTAGATCACAATTTTTTCGAGAAAGCGTCCGAACATTCATTCTCATAAAAACCAAATAAAATCAAGTTACATTGTTAGGCTGAAGACATTTTACCTAACGTAGTGTTTACGTTGAACTTAGGTAACTGGGCAAGTTAATCGAAGTTGTTGTCACTCGGAAATTTCCATTGAACTTTCTTAGTTGCGCTCCTGCACAATATAACGAGGCGTATCGATTTTTAAAACTACTTTCAGTTTTGTGAACTGAAATGGATTTTGAAATAAAATTTCCTTGTAGAACTTTGGTACCAGAAATGTAAAGAACTTGTCAAAAATTTTGTACTTGAAAAATTTTGTAAAAATTTGAGAGAGAATTTGCAGAAGTGCTTTAATACTTATGCTTAGAATTAACGCATCCATGAATGTCTTATATTATAATTCATTAGGAAAAATTATTGTAACAAACGACTAAATATTCAAGTTCAATTAAGCTATGTATCTATATTTTTAGTCATATTTCTCTTAGCTATCATAAATGATACTATGTAGGTACCTTCATAAAATTTATGTGAAAAATTAATACAAATGAACCTTTAACCTGCGCTATACTTGATTTATATATAGGTAATTAAATACATTAATTATTTATGGCTGGGTATCAAATAAATAAAATCTATAGAAGACCTTTAAACATTTAAACATTTGTACGTATTGTAAATAAGTACGTATCTAGTGCTTATACGTTGCTTGAGTGCATAGTGACGTAAAAAATTTGTGAGGATCTACATATAGTCACTGACAGATGTCAGTCATCGTTAATGTAAGAATTAAAGATTACTGAACCTCATAAGAAGTAAATATTACCGAAACAATTCCATTTAATGGAAAAACTACAGTGATAGACATACACATCAAACTACAAAATAAAAACGAATAATACAGACGTGTGTGTGTGGAATAAGTTGGATTTGTATTCAACACTTTTCTTAAATTACGAACATCTTAAAATAAAACGTTAATAAGCAAAACGATTTTCCAATAGACACTTTTGGAATTTTCCACCCAAATTTTTCCTGGTTAGCAACAATGACATAACATCCACGTACTTATTACTCCGCGTAGGCACTTATTATATTGCGTAGGTACTAGGTAACAAACAAATAAGGGCTGCTGTTGCTACAGGGTGAGAAAAATTTTAAACGTAAGTTCACGTGTATCGTGCACGCTAGTATAATATCCCATTGCACGGGGCTAGGTACTAAATTAAAATTCTAGTACCAATTTTGTTTCAAGTTATAACATAACATAACATCACGCCTTTTATTCCGCATTTTATTCAGAGGTGCACACAGAAGTAACACCCACTTTTCACTATTTATGTTATGAGTCCCATGTAATAGGGGGTGAGCCTATTGCCATATACCGGGCACAATTCCACACTCCGTGCTACTACTGAGAATTTTTAAAAAAAACCCAGTAATACTTTGCCCGACCCGGGAATCGAACCCGAGACCCCTTGCCCGGCAGCCGCACTTGCGACCACTCGGCCAACGAGGCAGTCGTTGTGCAGGCAGTGTCAAGTTATAATAGAATAATTGCATTTCCCTTCAAATGTCAGGCTCGGTGTTTGAATGTCGGAATATTTTAGTGTTTGGGGATCATAGGAACCATAGAAACGACTGTTATGGTAAATTGTTCTCTAATAGCTCTATTGCATTTGACAAACTAATGACCCAGACTTTCATGTTTCGTTTGATATTGTATTCAAAGTCTGTCAAAGTTAGCTATGACCTATCATGGCTTTGTAGGTAGGCACGTGTTTTTTCTTTTCCTTGAAGAAGTTATTTTGATTTTAATGTGATTGTACTACTAATGAGTATTGAGAAAAACGTACGATTCGTATTTAAATATCTGACTCAAAGTAATAGAACAATAATCACAAGCTAATTTAAATGTTTATTATGCTGTTGTAAAAGCGATACTAGAGGTAGGTATTATCTTCCTGTAAATCCATTAAGCAGGAAATGAGTTGACAAAAAGAACAATATTAGTTTTAAAAATGTTGCAACAAGTGAATCAATTATATTGTTCGTAGCATTGTAAGAAAACAAAGCGCTATTTCTATCTATTACAAATTGTTGCCAACGTGGGCGGAGGCGGGCACATTCGATTTACTTCGAAGCTCGGCACCCCCGACCTGTTGCGTCACTTGAAGCATGGCTTGTAAGCCAGGAACCGCGTCCGTAACTGGCTTCTTAGAACAAATACATCGTAACACGTGGAAAAGTATCTCGTTGACTCCGATCTACAGAGATCAACTTACACCCTTTAGCAAGTTGAATCGAAATTCGAGTTGAATCCAATTGCCTAGATCCTCTAGCGACTAGTCGCTCAAAGAAGTTTCGACTTTTACATTTCTGTTCCATTTCAAAAGTTAATTACAATTCAGAGTTAGCTCAAAATTCCAACACGTGGCACCATTAGATTTTTTCATCAAAAAAACTGAAAATTAAAATTCGAATTGTATCCCTGTGGCGCGATTCAAATGAAAATGTGAAAACTTCTGCAGCTTATGCATCGCCACTGCAACTGAGTATGAAAACTGTCCTCGATACATAAACATCAGGGCATCACGAAATTTAACTTGGAAAACCTAAATTAAGAATCATTTATTCGCTTCAGTTTATATTAGTAAATCGATATTGGTCTCATAAGATCATCTTTAAAAGATGGTAGTCACATTTCCAGATGGAATACATTTATAAAATGAATTCGAAGTTACGATATGGGGTAGTTACATAAATATAAATAACGGTACTGTGTTGCTTACTTAAGTACATGTTAATTTGGTCCTGTATTTTAAATTTATATTACGAAACCCTCCAATTGGAATATGTATTAAAATGGATCGTGTTTATTGACGACGTTGACGCAGCTGTAGCATAAATAATTTAAGACTTTTGTTTTTCAAATGCACTATGCACAAAATGGACATGAAACCATGTAATCTGGATTTCATATACAATTTAAAAAAAGTTTAATCCTCAATAATCGCTAATAACATAAGTAATTCGCTACTGGATGTGTTGCGGATTAAAGTTTAACCAGTTATGGTGAAATCAATTATAATAATCACTAAAAATGTCTGATACACTAAACATTACAAAGTTCCTATGGCAAACTAAAAGAAAAAATCGCACAGGTAAAAACTTCATTGACATTTTTGCGCATGACAATATCAGCAAATTAAAAAAGGCAATAAATAATGGGAGAACATTCTAGATTTGAACAGATTAATTAAAAATGTATGCACTAACTGAAATATATACAAGGTTTTTTAGTAATAATAATAAAAAAGATATAATAAATTGCTTGTTTATTTTCGCTTAATATAAAGGACTTGTACTCATCCAACATTTTTTCAATGCGCATGTATAAAGTACCGTTATACCGCAAGTATTAAAGGTAAACTATACATAATTCAGTTTATAAGGACGTGCTTTAGAATAGATGTAAATTTTTGAATACATTAGGTCTTAGGTTCATCATTCGGGTCAGTGAAAGGCAGTCCATTACATATTGATACTGCATCAGTTTCCATTTTTAACATATGACGTTTGCAACTGGCAAACGAGTGATGAAATTGTTGCATTTTAAACAAAATACTTTGGGGTTTTTCAGTCAAGAACGTGACTTATTAGTCGAAAAAAAAAAATCAGAATTGTGATAAAATTTCACTAGTGGTCAAACGAATAGTTTATTAAAACTTTAATTATCTGTACTATTATCATAAATATCCGTACAATGACATCAATAATGTAGTGCTGTATAGCGTTCACTATCGACAAATTCAACTCACCAAGAGATTTTAGGCAAACATCAGTTACAAATAAGAAATATCGACAGATTATTGGAAGTCCAGATACATAAATGTGAATGTGATGAGTACTAAAGGATTGGAGCAGTTGGCGCTCTAATATTTCATTTTGACCTGGTGGGACTAAAAGTGCGAGTTTATTATGCAAAAAGGTACTTACGATATCATTGCCGCTGGAGCACGGGTTGTCAGACCTGGCCCTCGCTCGGCGCACGACCTGACAACAACGGTTGTAGGTGCGGCAGGCACGGTCTGACTTCCTCAGGGATCCCTCCACGTGGCATGTTATGTACTGGTTGGGCTCAGAGCGCTGGCCTAACTTCTTAAGCCTGTTGATGTAAAGAGTCACATGAAAAAAGTAGCGCAGCATATAAAATACATCAAAATATTCGCAAAAGGACGGTAAAAACAGTATTTGAAATGTTCTGTTGGACGCTAGCAGCCAGCAAAGAAATTCATCGCAAAGCTAAAGAATTTCTGCAATGAAGTATATGCTATGTGATGATGTCGATGGAAATGAGAAAATTAATCATTATTTTCAATTACGATAATCTAAAATACTCTAAAAATGACAGGTGGTTTAAATATTAAACACGTTACCATGTTTTGAAGTTAGTCTTCTGTTTTCTGATTTTATTTATACAAGTAGCTTTCATATTTAAGATAAGTATTATTTTAATAAACATTTTAGAGGACTGCTCTTGGTGGACGCGGAATTCGGAATGATGGAGTATTGGAAGTCTCCCTATTTCGGTTACGCGGACCCTTTTTACCTTAAATATAAGGCTTCACGGAAGTAAGGAAGTTGGGGATACAACAAAACATCAGAAAATAGATGAAAACTTGGAAGTAGAATGTTGCTACAGTACGACGATGAAAATAAATACACTTTCAGAAAATACCAATTAAGTAAAGTAAGAACAAATGCCAGCCCCATTCTCAGCCGCTGATATGTATTTGGCAGCTTTTTAGGTGTAACCCCACAAAGAAACGTTCAGTTGTATCGGTACTTTCAGCCAAAACCACAATATGTCTGGGTGAATATAGCTTAAGTTACTATTTTCGCATCTGTGGATGTTTGAGACAAAATACACCCACCCACAAAGATGCTAATGTTAAAAATGATAATGGTGATGAATGCGGCGAGGAAGTGGGTTACTTATTTATGATTTCATTATAATATTAGTATTGTATATGAGTTCGCTTATTATTCGCTAGGTAAATATTGTTGGCAGCGTTAGCAACTTGTTTATTGTTCTAAAAATCGCTCTGGACGCTTAATATCAATTTGCTATTTGTTGATCTATTTGTTCACTCGCATTTGCCGACCAGCTGATAATAACACAGTTAGTACAACATTACCATTATCCCCTGAATGGTGGAGTTCGAGTCTTAGGTGAACTAGGAGTGCTATCAGCTATCGTACACCCAATACGTGGCTTGATCGTTGGCGTTTAGTAACGATGACACCTGGCACATTATGCAAAAAGAATAAAAGCTGGCATTAGGGAGTGCACCGACGCGTCACAGGACCAGGCCCTATCTACACCGAATACTTGTCAGTTTAATATTAGGTCCCGCGTCCGTTGCCTACACCCTGTAGTAAAGAAGAAAGATACTTGCATGAAGACCACTCACCTAATTGTAAATTTCCGTTTCTCGTTTGCCAAAGCCCTTTTGACTTTTTTAATGGCATCAGGTTCGTCTGGTATCAAGAGTTCTCCATTCGGACCCAGTTTCTGGGACCTTGGCATAAGCTGGTCGCGAAGCAAGGCCCGGTCTGCTTCGTGGGTTATTGTATGGAGATTTTGACCGAGTAAGTCGATCTGTTGGAACCAAATTTGGCGAATAAGCAAAATGTTGCCTGTTGCGATTAGGTACACATATTCTAATTAGACGCAGTGAAACATTTCTTTTATAAAGCGACCATTCTTATCACGATAAAATGCACCTAAACATCGCTACAGTTGACAAAACCGAACCCCGTTGCGTTTGTAGAAATATAAAAATACATTATGAAACAAAAAAACCACTAGCATGAAGGAGGGAGACGTAATTGACGATGAAAGCCCTACTTCAGTATTTTGCATATGCGTTTTACACTTAATATGTTAATCGCAAATTCGCTGGTGCGATTAAATTCAATTAGCAACAGCAAATAAAATATTCATGACTTTTTAAGAGGACTACGTATAAATATTAGTCATATTCAATCCAAAAAAGTGAAGTAGTGAAATTCATTGAGTTCATGTTTCAGCTCTTTCAGCTATTTATTTTAATGCACATGTATACATTTGCAATTTATTGATAGCTGCAGCATTATTGAATTTGAATACATAATATGACGTCAGGTTTTCCTTAGAAAAATTGAACTAGCCACAACTATCCATAAAAATGTTATTGAGTCATAAATCATAGAATAAAATTGCAAATTCAATCGCTTAAGAATCTGTGCGTATCAGTTTATCATTAACATTTATGACTACAACTAGGTAATTACTATCTTACAAACGTTTTCCTTATTTACTTTAGTGAGTGCAATTGTAGGTGAATAAACTGTCGAAGGTTTTCTTGTAGAAAATAAATAATAATAAGTTGCATTACTTATTTGTATGCTCTGTTACTATTTTAGTATTCAATGGAATATTTCGGATATAGGTATGTTGCAAGAAATCAATTACTGATTTATGCTGAGAATAATAAATAGTTATACAAATAACCGTTAAAGTATCTATCACTAGAAATAGCACAATCTTACAGATTTTTGGCATTAATTAAAATTAAAGTAAATATATTTTAGCAATACTAATACAAACAATTCCCATCAATCATAATTATAACGCTTTAAAAAATATTTTGTTTACTCATACCAAATAATAAACATGGTATACATAAGTTCTGTGTGTCATTTTGTGTTCTAAATCTACAGACCCAGACCTTTTTCGTTTGAATTAGAGACATTATGTGGTTTTACTAAATGCGCACACAAAATAATATTTTTAAATCTTCTTACCTCATTATATCCCAGATATTGGTTGACATTTTGTGAAACGACCACAATGATGCCCCTATACGTTGTAGTTATCAGGAATCCATTGAACATGCTCAAAACTTTTTGAATCGAAGCCGCGCTGAAGTCCCGTGGGCACTTCCCAATCGAGTCACCAAATACTGCGGAAAAAAGGAACTTATTTAGGAACGCTTATAATAGAGTAAAAGTGGTTACTAGGTTTCTAATGTTATTACTATCATTTAAGCACAGAGAGGTTAAGTTATATATCTTCGTACATCATCAATATCGCTGATAATATCCATGACGAAATATGAGGTACCTAATTAATTTCCATAACGAGTAGTCTGCAACCACAAACTCTCAACTACCTTAATTTTTTCCAAAATATGATGCATTCCATTTTAGAAGAGTAGAGTTGTCTTTGGGGTCCAGAGTTCAATTTGGGCATACGGAGCCGCGGAATGCCCAGCGGGTTGCCGGGGCTTCGGCTCGAAGAGCATGGGTAGGAACAGGGTGGTTTTTAGTCAGTGAGAGTCTGACACTCCCTCTCGCCAACCCAAGGCGGGAGAAGTCATTGGATGATTTTTCCCCCTTACAAAAAAAAGGATTCTAATCTTCTGGAAGCTGTTACTGCATAACCTGTTCTAATTTTTCTTTTTTTTTTAAATTAAGTGCTTCAGAGAAGATGGACAGGTGTAGCAATATAAGAAGTTCTTAATTAAAATATCGGCAGTCAGTAAATAAAATATGCTTATCCGTACATAAATGTCGCGTCGGAGTATGTAATGATATATATTATTCTTCGTATTTCTGTAAAAGATGTTTCATTTAAAAAAACATGCATAAATATCTGTACAGACGAGAAGTTTCTAATTAAAAACTGTGCTTTATGTAGACGAATGATATTATATTTTTTATTACCTCTATTTTTTAGAGTTAGTAACGGTAATATATCTTTTTTTTTAAGTCGGGTAAATCATCGAATGACTGCTCCCGCCTGGGTGAGGCGGGAGGGAGTGTCAGACTCTTACTGACTAAAAACCACCCCGTTCCTTCTCCTGCACGTCGAGCCGGAGCCCCGGTTACCCGTTAGGTTCTCCGCGACAACGGTAATATACATAGTAGCTTAATTGGAGAAATTGTCAAATTTATATGATGTATGTAGTTATATGAAGTAGAAAATGTTAAGTATCTATGTCTATTTATGCACATTCAATAAGGTTGTACTGAAGTATCGCAGCGTAGTTGAAGTAGTAGCGTAATTTCTATACCCAAGTCATGTCAGCCTGATCATGATATCTTTGTATGCTCCCAATTACCCATTAATTGGTTTAAAATGTATTGTAAAGAGTAGGGGGAAGTATAATGGGATTAAACCTTTGGTTGTTTACCAAAACCCATTAAAATCAGATGAAAGGTTTTCCTATATATTTGTTCTAAAGAAAATTAAGTGGTCCCTTCACGAAACTTAAGCATTATAATTAGGTACCAGTTGCATTTCCATTTGGGACCGTTTCTTTATGGATCGAAAAACGTTATTTTAAAATTATGACTTACTCCATGTTGGATAAGGTTATGGCTATATTACGCCACCGAGTTATGACTTGTTCACGCTGTTTACGGTGACATTGAAACTAAAATAACTGAATTCGCAATGCAGTGTGTTGACGCCCTAAGCAGAGGAGCATGGCGCCGCACGTGCGCTGGCGCACTCACGTTACTATACACGACCGGATTTTATATTGATAGACAAATATGTTACATTGCAATAACTAATTGCACTAAATCCCACATAATTACTAGGTATGTTAATGTTTAATGGCATTCAACTTAATTCAATCTTACTTGCCTATTTTTCTACACTCATCTAATCAAAGTAGGTACTATTCGCGAAAGATAACACTAGGTGGTAACACTGCATAATTAATTTACACAAACAACGACATTATCTAATTTGACAGCAAAATATGACGTACGAAAACAACATGTACTACATTGTATGTACCGTGAATGTATAATTAGAGCATAAAAATTAATGTAATTATGTAGATAAGATCATACGTGAATATGTTATGATGTAAAGCGTGGTTAATGAAATGCATGTTACATTTACAGAGCAAACTAATAGTGACACGAATGTGTGAGCCGCTAACTATGAATAGATTTGCACTTTGCACTAGTTTATTGGCTACGTCCAGTTACCGACGGATCCTCATCGAATAGGCATCGGCCGTCTTGCAATGTAACGTCAGTCCCTAAAACAACCACATAACCATCTCTTAATCGAGATCAATCGCATACAATTTTATTAGAACTGTAAATATCCGTTGAAGTGTCACATTGTATGAAACGACGATGCAACATTGTTGCCTAATAATATTGCACTTTCACGATGGAAAATCAATATAATACAATATATCTAGAAGGTATTGCTCATGTTTAAACATTAGTTTCATCAATATTAGGTCCTGCCTTGAACCCATTTAGTGGAAGGAAGCTTCCTTACTATGTTGTTTAATTACTAAATTACTACATCTTTATCTTTAAACGTAGCTTAGCCTACCCCACATCACCCTTTATATGAAATTAATATTCTAATTTCGTGAGTCATTGTGTTACATTGCACGTAGGTATCTATTTACTAAGGTACTCGTTCCACGCACACCGTATATACTTACAAGTTGTTACTTTACAAGTAATGGACTATTTTATGACTTTTATAGGTTTTGTACTTAATGGGTACACTTAGGTTATGACAACAATTAATATGATGAAACATCTGTATTGTAGAATAATAACATAGAATGTTCTAGGCTAATGCACGAACTTCGGATTGCTTAATATGAATGCATTGATAGTTAACTATATATGTACTTACCTACATAGCCTACTATCGAACGATTGTATTTAATTTGTCTTACTAATTTTATTAATATAACAGAACACAGTAATGTAAAGTATGTAATGGACGTCTTTCTATTAATTCTCTGCTGTCTCCTTATTTTATCTAAGATATAGTATCGTATGTGCAAAATGACATGCCATTAATAACAAGATACAAAATGTGCGCACCTGCATCGTCCACCGGCTATCCTGCTAAATCTAATTGTATCTTGTTACACTCACAATAGTAGTTTAGTCTAAGACAATTCAATTTAGTCGTGTATGCTCATCGTAATTGGTATGGGTGGAGCTTGCATTCCAACACAGAACAATTACTGAATGGAATGTGGTGAAACTAGAAAATATTTGCAAATTAAAGCGTAGAACTAGATCACTCACTGCGTCACTCAAACCCATAAGGTGATCAGGTAATACAAGTCTGGGAGCTGATGACATACTGACGATGGGGATCCAATTGCATATCGAATACGCGCTTACATAACATAATATAATAACCTCTAAGTGATTTTCGAGAAAGACTGAGAAAATGACAGTATTATATAAGGGGCATTTTATTGTATCCTATTAATCTGGACTTATAGCAGCCTTTATTTTAGTTCGGCAAAATCTAAGGTAAGGTAAGCATGTACAAAACACGGCGTAACTTTACGTCACCTAACCTTTTACGGGCGGTCAAGCAAAGTAATTAACTACTTAAAAAAGTACTTTTTGTAGTTGAAAATTCAAACGAACCTAAGTAAGAATAAAGACGAAAATTAACTCTGAGACAGTTTAAAGCTTAGCCATACTGGAATACATATTTAATTAACGTTACGCTTTGCACTAACCAGTGATATTATTGTATTTTCTATTCGTATTTCAAAGGACATTACTAGTTTATATACCTAGATTCATCAGCTTTCCACTAGTTAAGTATAATACCAATGTAATAAGAATTGAGCTGTCTTGAAATCCCTAATTAATTACTATACTGACGAAATAGTTCTTTGCTAACATCTCTAATTGTCGAGGTGGCCCGGAGGTTTAAGACGCCCACTTCTCATGCATGAGGGTGCGGGTTCGAAACCTACCAACGGCAAGTACCAATGTGACTTTTTCCGAGTTATATGTACTTTCTAAGATTATTTAGACACCACTGACAAACGGTGAAGGAAAAACATCGTGATGAAACCTGGACTTATAATTTTTAATTATAAGTTTGAAATCGCCAACCCGCATTGAGCAAGCGTGGTGATTAACGCTCTAACCTTCTCCGTGTGAGAAGAGGCTTTGCTCAGCAGTGGGCATTTATAGGCTGTAGATGATGATGATGATGAACATCTCTTCCCGCCCAATTTAAGAGTTAAGAGTAGGAAGAGGAGTATTGAGGTAGAGTAAGAAGCAAGGTAGGTATTAACGTAGACCCCTGCCTCACCAGCAGCTGTAGCCAAATGCCATTTAGCGCTTGTCTACATGTAGAATAAAAAACCAAATTATATGAAATTGACGTAAATTTTGACACTTGTCAGTGTCATCCCCATACATTTTGTTTTCTACTCTCTCTGTAGACAAGAGCTAAAGTGGCGTTTGGCTAAAGGCTCTGGACGCCATGACAAAGCGATTCTCGAAAATTTGAAATACGAATTGACTGTCACTTATCGATACGCTTTGCGCCATGATTACTCGATCTGGCGCATGGCGGCACGCTCGGATGCCAGAAGTAGCCAGGCTTGCATTGGTGCCATTGCATGCTAATAAGCCTAATGCCTTAAGAACCCTACTCTCTTAAGGCATAATACATCGACAACGTATTCAGTTAGAAGGATCAGTAACCATAGGCATATTATAATCTCCATAATAAGTCCATGGGCGGCTCCGATTGCTTACCATCAGGCAATCCGTTTTGCTTTGTCGCCCTTTGCCCTGAACCTGCCACTGTAAGTAGTTGCTTACCGTATTGATGAGCTCGCAGATAATGTGCTGTGAGACGCAATACAGTTGTCTTGTCCAATTTACGCCTAGCTGCTACTACAGGTGGCACCATAGACGCGAGATCGGCAACAGACTGGTTCAGTCTATCCCGTCTCATCTTCTCCGCACGGTTGCGGACCTCCCTCGGATTCTCTCTGCAAAACAAAACAAATCACATTTTTACAAATATTCTATTAACATACCTAATGTTAAAATTTTATGTCCAAAATCCAAAATAAGGAAATCAAATATCATCATTCGTTGTCCGCGTCCGTGTCGTATTGATCAGAATAAGAAATTTGTTTGCTTTGCCTCTTTGTAAACTGTCGTCAACTCAATATTGTTTATTGGCCATTTTATTACTCCCGAAATATTATTATTTGTTTTGGTTTCCAAAATATTTATTTTCCGCGTAAAAGAAAAGTGGTCAGGTTTCTCGCAGACATTTTATAGATAGCTATTATTTGTAGGTATATTGGGAACATGAACTAGCATCTAGGAATAGCCTAATTGAAAGTTTACAATTCATGACTTTTGTATAATCAAACATCCTGTTAGTCGAACGAATTACATTGTATTAATGTTCGTCAACATAATTATGCACATTTTACATGCGAATACATCCTGATTTACGTCTCGTTTATAGAATTCTACGCTTTTCGAAATTAAAAAGTAGAATTTACACTTTTGAATACGCTAGTTTAGATTTCGCGGCACGTACAACTATAATCTAATGTAAATAACAATTTATTTAACATAAGTCCAAAATTATTAACGTCAAAAATTAACAAATAATAATCTTGAAATAGTTTTTTTTTTCGATGCAGTGAAAAGGCGTCTCTGGTAATACCACAACACACTTCATTCTGCCTATTTGTCTATGGTCAACTATTTTGCAACGCATTCTGAATTCATTGTATGAAATACTCAATACGTTCGAAAATAAGTCAGCTAATATTTTTTTTCTCTAAATTTGCTAGTCGCAGGCGACTGCGATGTAACGTGCTTTATCCAATCTTGTGCGGCGCGGTACAGTAGCGGCACCACCGCTCTGAAGCGTCGGTGTAGGCGCCCATAGCACGGAATTTACGAATTTCCTCTCATTGTCAGAATAAAAAAAAATCGTTCCATTTGTAAATTAAAATTCTGCATTTTTTTTAATCTTTTTGTTACATTTTAATTTCATTATACAGATAAAAAATAAACTGTAAAAATATTTTACGATATTAGATGCTATCTATCTTTTTATTGTTATTTTATTGCTTTTCAAGGACATAATGTGACTGGTAATCAATTATAATTATATTTACTCTATATTTTACTATTAGTAGATAACATTTAATATCGCAGGTAATCGGAAAGAGAATAATTTGTCCAAACCACAGTGATTTGTTTAAGCTACAAAAGCTAAATAAATTCTAATGGGTTTGAGCACAAAACTACATATAATTAAGAATATTCCTATGTAAGTCGGTAACGCATTCGTGATTTATCTAGTATTTTTGCAAATGTACTCAGGTTACGGTAGGTAACCACAAGCAGTATAAAAATGTAGAATAAAAATATACGTAAGTATAATGTATTTTTCACAATTTATATAAAAGTTAAATGAGGCTAGGGTAATATGAAATGCATGAATTATTATTTTAAGATGGAACTTGTTCAATGTCTAGGGAAAATCACAGGCGTTATACGTACTGAGGGCGTTTATTTATATGAAGCAATGAGAACGTACTACAATACTTAGTACTACATAATTATGTCTGTTGTTGTGAGATATCAATTTTAAACTTTCTCTATAGTAAATAGAGTGCATTTTCCTACTGAATTAGAAAACTTTCCGTCTAGGGGCCCGATTATAATAATGTTATACATATTTATCTTTCGCATCTAACTGAACAACAGTATCTAGTAATTTTATACCATTTACCAATATAGGTACTGTATTTAATAGGATTGCACTTAAGTTAACACAAACATTTGTTAGTGTTTCTTTGCTGTCATCGCTCTACTTTAAAAAGTGCACGTAAGCTTAAACTTTGTTTTTTATAAGGTGTGTGAAAAAAACCACTCGCTTATCGTCACATAAAATACCACATATAATTAATAAGTTCCGGTGTTTAACTCACTTTTTTTTAAGGGGGTTAAATCATCGAATGACTGCTCCCGCCTGGGTGAGGCGAGAGGGAGTGTCAGACTCTTACTGACTAAAAACCACCCCGTTCCTACTCCTGCACGTCGAACCGGAGTCCCGGTTACCCGTTAGGTTCTCTGCGACGTGTTTAACTCACTAGGGATTACTTCGAAATGTCCGTCCTAACGTTTTGATTAGGTACATCTACGTAGAAAATTATACTGGTTTCAGAACAGAATAGCTATTGTTTTTTTACTGTTTGTTTTGTAGGTAGCATCACTATAGTTTGAATTAGGATGCTATCTCAAAATATTTGTGTAAAGGCATAAGGTCTGGTTAAGACATCGGGTGCCATTATTTGAGTATCGATAGTTTCTCCTTGATTGTCATATTTCACACCCTTGAGATTTGCTTTGTTAATAGGTATAGCTACAACAATACGGGTATTTGCTTTGAAGGAAATGTTAGTGCATCGAATATCTGTCTACCTCCAACTAGATCAATAGTGGATTCGCAACCAGCTTCTCTAGTGACAAGCTCAGGTTTACGATTCAGCAGTTCCTTTAATGAATGTCGTTTCCTTATCTTAAGGAAATTGGCATACACGCCGCTCCTTATTCCGTTTAAAAATTTCTTTTGTTGATGGTCTTAATCACATTTTATAATCATCCTATTTATGTCATGAAGTTTTTTACCTGTTCGACTAGGTAACTGCTTAATACTTACAAGTTGTCGAATGAGCTACGTATGAATAACTTAGTAACAAAATATAGACCTCACAATTAATAGATTCTCTAAACCATCCACCAAAACCATATCATCTCGTGAAAACGCTCAATCAACGATTATGCTCATTAAACCTGGTGCTAGTTAGTATTGAACCGAGGAATAAATCACCACTTCAATTCCTCCAATAAAAGTCTCTAATTCGTATTCCTATGCCCAATTTTCTCAGTTGCCGGTAAAACTTTGCCCGTAGCTACGTAGTTACTTAGTTAAGCGCCCATTAAACTTTTACTGCAATGCTAGAAAGTAGCCAATGCTCACAGACTGTGTTTACTGTGTAATAGTAGTGAGTGCTAAACTGATAGATTTATATGATTAGGCAATATCCTAACTTTCATGTGAGCACCTTAAAGTTTAACCTGGTTCGCTCATTCTATATCAATGTCATACAATAATTGACGTTCGGTGTCAACAGACGTGTTATAATTATAATGTCCTATTACTGCAACAGTGATCTACTAAATTATTTTTGTTGATTCTGAAACCTAGTATTTTATAAGGGAAATATAATCTAACTAATCATAGTTGAAGAAAATGGATAAAAGTCCGAGTAATCTGAATTTTTATGACTCACTAATGGAGAACAGCCGTAAATCTGGCTTCTCTATAGAAGCTGTGTCCACGCCTCATATTCAAAACTGGATGGCAAGTACAACTGAGCAGCAGTTCAATGAAGTTTGTATTATTATTATAGAGGGCAAACTCAATTCAGAGCAAAAACTTAAAATCTAACTATTTATCTAACCTGAGCCGTAAAATTGTAGCTGATGTGTCGCAAATAGCTGTCCTCTACCAAGCTCTGACGTAGCAAGCCCATAAACATTATCAACAAATTGAGGGAAAAGCAATAGTTAACTACATATCTTAGAGACAAGTGTAAGAGATCAAACCAACTCTTAAGAACTCAACTACAATGAAACATGAGGCTTTCGTTAATATGGTGAAGAAAGGTAATAGTTTCATGCGACCTAACAACTTATGTTCTGTTGCTATATATCCTATGAATAAATTGAAGACTACTACTACTACTAGTCTTCCGAAATCAAATCTCTAATGCAAAAAATCATATTTCCTGAAGAATTAAAGCTGCATGTGCATAGAGTTCGTTGAACTCAAAACGAAGGCGTTATAACCAAACAAGATCCCGTGAACGTTAAAGATGCAGTAGACATTTTGTTGACTGTACTCATCGCTGATATACACAAAAAGCGCCAAACACGATTCACGATTACAGGATTGCCAACGTCTATTAATGATACTGATATAATTCAATGCATAAATGAGCAGAACAAAATAGACAAGTTCCCAAATGAGTCAATGGAGTCCTTTTTAACGGCTGTTAAAATAAGCCAGAAATCGTGTAAGTTCATCGTAGAGGTTCCATTAAAGATACATAGTCTGTATATCCCAAGAAAGGCTTTATATACAGTGGACTTCTTGCCCTGTCAGAGATTTTACGCTCGTCACCAGATACTATAAATGTCAGCTGTATGGTCACGCAGCAAAAACGTGCCGAGAGCTTTCGAGTGGCCACTGTGGAGAATGGAGACATTTGACATCTGCGTGTACTGATAAAGTGAAATCCCCATATGCGCAACTTATTCTCGATTTAACAAACCCAGCCAACATAAAACGGGAGACGCTGAATGTCCCGCTAGATAGCAGAATATAGGTATATTAACTCAATCGACTATGTGGGCGCAAAAGAGTGCGTCATAATCTAGGTAAGATTTCCGAGTTGAATAGCCTTTGCCCTGCATAATAATTAGACAGGTTGACTTGCACTTCGCTTTAATGCTGTCTTAGGACATTATGTATCTTTGTGATAAGTAAATTATCGAATGAATTGTAACCACATTATCTTTTCTGCTGATGTAAGAATTCGACCAATAACATGTTTTGTTTTAAATAAATGTTAATTTAGTTATTTTATATGTTAGGTATATTTTATATAGGTATAGGAAGGTAGACAATTTATCATAATCTCCACTCTTCACAACCGGTTTGGAGATCGTACTTCAAAGGGTTCAGGTTTATCATTGTCTACCTTCGAAAGACGCTCAGTAAGAATATTATTGCAGGTGATAAATATAGGCATCCTACTCAGCACAGAATTGATTAAATTCCCTAAGCCGAGATATGAACGATTATTACATTCCGAATAGTGTATGACTGTGTAGATCTAAGCATCAAATTCCATCAAGCGAAGTGGGTCGTGCCTTAGAAATGGTTTAC